TATATATATATATATATATATATATATTTAAGTGATTGTGCAAATGTGTGTGTCTGTTTGTATCAATTCAGTTATGAATAAACATATATCTGTAAAGTAAAAAAGAAAATATGAATTCTGATTTTTAACTTTTCTCATCGTACTTCCATTTAATCAAAATACCTACTCATTATTCAATGGACAATTTATAGGATTCCTACAGTTACATAATTTTGCTTTACTTTTATTTATTTTTATTTCTGGATCATCACATTTTTATTCTGGTTTAATTATTTATTTAAAATTTTATTATTGTGTGTTTTTTTATATTTTTTTTCTAAATTATCAGTACAGTATATTACTGATAATTTAGAAAAAAATTTCATAGTTTCGTTTTGCTGGCTGGAACTCCAACAGTTTTGAGAAGACAAAGGTTTTCAATGATTTTTCGCAATTATATTAACGAAGGATTGCTGCCTAAATATACAACTATATATATATATATATATATATATATATATATATATATATATATGTATATGGTTACAGGCAGAGGGAGAAATAGATAGCAAGATATAATAGGCCAGTAAAAGAAATTCGAGAGGTAAAACATTTGGACAGTTTCTACACACTCTTTGTCCAGAAAAGAAAGCTCTTGTTCGAACACAAGAAAAATTAATTAAAAAGCTTAACCGTAGTACCTTGCCTGTCGTTTAAAAGAAACATTCATATATATATATATATATATTATAAATTAATTGATTTAAAATATGTTTTTTCCGCTACACAGTTCTAACCATGTTTCAGAAATGGAAGCTAAAAAGCCCAATTTAATTTTCTAATTAAATTGAAGACATTAATTCCATTTCATCCTCAAAAAATTATATATATATATATATATATATATATATATATATATATATATATATATATATACATATATATATATATATATATATATATATATATATATATATATATATATATATATATATATATATACATGTGTGTGTGTGTATGTGCGTGTGTGTTGAATTCCATTTATGATTCCAAGACAAATCTACAATTATTACTATTGTAAATCTGTCTGATTTCTCAATCTCATGTGTTGTCTTCAAGGGATAATGTTTAGAAATCTCTTTCATCATGAAAGACAAGTCTGAATTCGGCTTATTGAAAGCCGACACTAAGATATCTGTACATCTCCAGTGGTCGTGAGTAGCGCCTTCAGAGGAGAAATTTGGAGCTGACTAATTCCGGTCAAGACAGATGACCGTGCGAGTCAGACGTCTGACCGTGTATGGGTGACAAGTAAATTGTTTGATGAATGGCCTTTAGAGTTTGGGTATGTATTATTTTGATAACTGTGGAACGCGATTAGGATACATGGCGGAAGATGTTTATGCAAGCAAACAGGATCGTTGTTCTCAAATATTGTCAACGCACACGTATTTCTTTGGTATTAACAGCGGAGAGGAAATTTATCTGTAGAAAGATAGAAGCCATAAAATTGTGTAATGCGCATTCGTCATCTGCATCATTTTCATCGGTACCTTGACTCGTTGTAGGGCCGTTCAGCACCTAACTTTCCTGGGCTGAAAGCTTGAGAGACATCTATTCTTGCGTAGTGGCTCTTGAGTATTAACAGCGGAGAGGAAATTTATGCCTAGAATAATAGAAGCCATAGAATTGTGTAATGCACCGTCGTCATCTTCATCACTTTCATCGGTACCTTGACTGATTGTAGGGTCGCTCAGCACCAGAACAGTTCCCTTGACTTAACTGGGCTGAAAGCCTGAGGGACATCTATTCTTGCGTACCGACTCTTGAGCATGCAGTCCTGGTGGAGCTCATTCCTCTCCAATTCAAAATATAGCCGACGTCCTTCAAGTTTAAGGCTTGCCTTCGTCATGAGCCCTTGATCGTTGATATCACGGCAACCCCACCCTCTCTCAATGCTCTATTCAGTCTAGAAAGTTCTTTGTCCAACGATGCTATGTTATCACCCCTGCGTACATTGCTATACAGCCGTGTCTATGTCATTGTAATCAATGACAATTAACCTTTGAAATGCGTTTTTTTTTATTCCTACAGAGTGTTTAGCTATCCTCCTTACCAAAAAACGAAGCCTGGTGGAGAATCCATTATTTGGCCGATTTCTTACAGCCTGTCAATCTTTAGCAGGTTATACGAAGCCAGCAAATATTTTAGCATTGTAAGACTCTTGTTTTTTTTTAGATAATAATGATTTTCAGATACAAGTCCTACTATTTAACACATAGCTGGGGGAGAAGAGATGGATTCATATGTTTCCCAGGGGTGTTTGCGTGTAAGTGTATATAACGAACCCGACTAGAACTGATACTCGGCTCTCCGATTTCTCATTCCGTGCCGTTATCCATTACACCACCGGCATACCTAAGCTTATTGGTATTCCCAAGCGGTCACCCCTCTAAGTACTGACCGAGCTCAACGTTGTTGAACTTCAGTGATCATGAGGAGAACCGATGTCTCAACGATGAACCGACCATGCGGTAGGTAGTACTTGCTTCTTTACATGGTACCAGCAGCACTCGTATAATGTCCTGACGTAAATGATATCGATGTTCCAATTAAGGAAAATACGAGACTGAATCAATCAGACATAATATCGCATTTTATTCAACCCCTTCGTCAGTGACTGTAGGGCATTTTTGTGAAAGACGTGAAGGGAAAAGTCAACACCGCCGACACAAAACCGCCGACTCAACACCGCCAACCCCACACTGCCGACTCGTAACTGCCGACTCAACACCACCGACTTAGCACCGCCACAACTCAGGCCCGAGACAACTCAGCACCAGAAAAACATATCTTTTATTTTATAACCGAAGAAAAATAATTTATTGAGTATTAAAACATTAATTTCTGAATAGTGTTACTTTATTAATATATAAATTTCTTTACGACTTACTTATAAAAATTACTATTATTCCGTTATGTTTTTCTGGTGAAAATAGCTTTTTGAAAGGGAGCGTTCTACGGTGATCGATGCTTGGCGTTGTATAGTCGTCGTCAGGGCCCGCTCGCTTCTTATCCCCTTTCTTCATTCTGGTGGCGGAGATTCACCTACATTGATTAAAAAAAAAAAAACAATAAAGGGAACACACAAGGGGTGCAAGTCAACTCAATACCGCCGACTCAACACCAACAACTCAACACCGCTGACTCAAAACCGCCGACTGAGCACCGGTACAACTCAGGTCTGGCACAACTGAAAACCAGAAAAACAACTTTTTTTTATAACCGAATAAAAGCAATTTATTAAGGATTAAACCTTATATTTTTTTTCAACTAAGACATTTGAAAAGGTATTAAAATATGAACCAGTTTTTTGTTTCCAATTATTTTTTAAAAAAAAGTACGTCATAAAGAAATTTATTTTTTTAATAAAGTAAACGGACAAATAAAAAAATAAATCGGTAAAAGACTTTAATTTAATTATCTTTTAATAAAGTAAATGGACAAATAAAAAAATAATTCAGTAAAAGACTTTAAATTAATTATTTTTTGATAAAGTAAATGGACAAATAAAAAAATAATTCAGTAAAAGACTTTAATTTAATTATTTTTTAATAAAGTAAATGAACAAATAAAAAAATAATTCAGTAAAAGACTTTAATTTAATTATTTTTTAATAAAGTAAAGTTTTTCTAAAATATTTTAGAATTTCGATTTACTTTATTAAAATATAAATGACCTTACGATCTACTTTATTAAAAATAATTAAAAATAATTAAAACCAAGTGTGATTTACTGAGGAAGTTAAAATTGTAGTGTTGAGAGAAGCTTGCATCGGCGAGTCTGTTTCACAGTGGTTAAGTCTATAATGTTCAGAGACGAATCCCTGTGGAAGTTTGTTGCACAAAGTGGTTAACATTGTAGAGTTCAAAGAAGCATCCCCGTAGGAGTCTGTTGCGCAAAGTGGTGCTAAGTGTTAATCTGCTTATCTTCATAATCCTCACTACCTCCTTTTCATATTACACACTTAATTCGGCAATCCTCTAGTTTTTATGGCTCTAGATGTTGACCATGTTCACCATAGTCTATGAATATAGAATACAGCGCAGTACGTAATCTTTTCAATGAAACAAGGTTAAACATTAATACTCTCGAGTCAGATATTTTACTGAATCTGACTATATCGCCAATACCACCAGCAGCTGTTCCGTAATACTTCAGTCCTGCCCAGGACTAATAAGGATCTTATAGGTCAGTACCAAATATGACAGGAATGAAAGCCCCTAATTTCATTTTTGTAATTGGCTTTGTAAACAAATCCGACACGTTATTTTCCGATTGAATATATTACGTACTGCGCTGTATTCTATATTCAGAGACTATGGTGAACATGGTCAACACTTGAGCCTTGCATTGGGAGAATTTTAGTAAAATAAAAGTGAATTATAATGACGGAAATTCTCATCATCCGTAATTATTGGGCATAATTGACGAAAGGTAGTTTTGCCTTTGAGACAAAAATCGTGGACCTGTCGAAGCGTAAGAAAAGAGGGTACAGTGGAGAACCGGAAATTAAAGTTAAATGTCGATAGGTCTCGATAAGACAAAACGTTTCAGAACGGTGGATCAGTCCAAAGCTAATCACATATCGGATTAAAGGTTCGGGATTTAACACTTTTCACAAATCCAAGTGAATTTCCATAGCACTATCAGTGCTTATCTCTTCTTCTTTTTTCATTTTTGAAAAATCAATTCCCCCCAAACAAGGCGATAACACCACTAAGACGCAAGCGGATATTTTGGAGTGGAAAAGAATAAAAAATACTTAAAAAGAAACAGGAACCCCAGTTCAAATAAAAAAAACATGAGATAAACTACATCTGTTCGAAAAATACGGGAGGGTTTGAACCGGGCGATAGGCGCAGTTACCTACTCCTGTGATGGTAAACAGATAAATAAATAGTAAATAAAATTTCAGAATTTAGGCGGAGACGTTAGAAGTCTAGAGTTGAAGTAAATATTAGAAAGAACCGGAAACTCAATCCTAAACAGGAAGCAAGGGATAAACCTCTACTCCTGTTCAAAAGACCGGGGAGGAGTGTGAACTGGATGATAGGCGAAACTATCTACTCATACTGAGTTAAAAAAATCTATTAATTTTAATTTTAATCATTTCCCCTCAATCAAGGCGATAATGCCACTAAGACGCAAGGGGGGAGGGGCTACGAGGAGTGAACAAGAAGGAAAATACATTAGAAGGCACCGGAAATTTTTAAAAAACTAACTGGAAGGTAAAGCAACACCTCCCAGGCCCAAGGACTGTTGTAAAACTTATTCACCATATAAAAAGGCCTCAAAAAATTGACAGAAAACAACAATCTACGACCAAAATGCCTAGGATCACAGTTTAGTATATGTTTCCGCAGAACCAACATCAATCAGCTAGCTTGCAGTTCCAGTCAGCCATCAGCAGCTTCGGTCAACAGCAGCGGCTCCGGCTCCGGCTCCGGCTCCAGCAAGCCGCCCTCGGCAGCAGCAACGATATGCGATAAGCTCAATTGTCATCGGTTACAAAACTATCCTTTTCAGGACAACACTTTTCAAAGACTACAAAAGTATACTCCTGAAGACAACGCTATTCTCACCCTCTACAAGAACATGCAGAGATATTTTTTGCCTGTTGCACTTGTAACATTATTTTTGTCGATGCATTTTCTTTAACAAAAATAAACTTGGCAATATATTTTTTTTACTCAAGTCTTCGTTTTTGTTTCGTTGCTGTCTTCCGTCACTCAGTATCTGCAGGCCAATATACCACCCACAAAACTGCTATTAAGCTATAAAATAAATGAGAAAACTTCACTTACATTTTTTATTTTTATTTTTTTGCTAGAAAAATATCTAGGTCATATACCATAACACAAGTAGATGAGAATTTTTTTTTTAAATTATTCAAAATCAAAAGAAATCAAGTTGAATAATAGATTTTAAAGCATTCACTTTAAGAGAGACTCATATAAACATACAGAACCTGGTTATCTTTAAAATTTAATATATGATTTAGCCCCCAAATTTAACATCTGACTAACACGGGTTTTCTTGTGGAGCCGTGCTCTTAATTTATGTCACTTCGTGATAAAGGAGGTTTGTAAAAAATGTCACCTCAGTTTTAAATGTGGACGATTGAAAGCATATCACATAATCTCGCCAGGTGATACAAACAAAAAAATGCAAGAAAAATCGTTTTTTCCATAGTTTAGAAACGCATTCTATTTTCACGTCGAATGGAGAGAAAACAAATCAATCAAAGAAAGAGGATTCATTATTTAAAACCACCTGGGTTGATTAAGAAACGAATTCTATGTTTCAAACGGCTGATTGCCTTCTCACGTTGTATATTCTCCATTAAAATAATTTCCGCTGAATTTCTATAAAATGTTCGCTATTTACTGTCTCACACGATGTTTTCATGTGAAAATTGGTTTTAATAAAACCGATATTGGAAAGTGTTAAAGTTTATATATAGATAATGTACAAGCCAACATTAAATAACGAACCTTTCTTCATAAGTACCCGTATACCGAAACGGGTTTAAAAAAAAAATCGGACACACAGATACATAAAGAATATTCAGTTTAACCGTTTATATGACGTCGTTTTGAGTGAATTGGAATTGGTTGTATCCAACGTGGGATAATAATAATAATAATAATAATAATAATAATAATAATAAAAACTGCTTACATAACTACAAAAGAACAATCGAATGGAGCAACATTCAAAAGTACCCAGGAAGAAAATAATAAAAAATAAATATGTACAAATTTACCGATAACACAAAACAAGTAATTTAACATAGATTGTAAAAGGAGTAGTTAGAGAGACATGGTAGAGTTCAGGGAGGGATTAATTTCATCTCTCTCTCTCTCAATCATACTTAGTATTGGGGGAGGAGGAGTGACCAGACCTTGACCTATTTAAACGGTTAGCTTAACGGAAGTGATATATTGAAATGGGAGGGGAGAAGAGAGAGAAAATGAAAAAAAAAAAGAAAGAAGGAGAGAAGTAAAGAGAAAGAGGCTGTAAATGGGGTTTAATATTAAGGAGATGGTTGGTAAGTTTTAGTAATTTATGTAAAAATAGATTTTAATGTTTGATTGTAATTTAGATGTAAAAAAACGCGAAGAAATTAATTTGATGCTTGCTAGCAATTTAAATATTTAACTTTTTTCAAATAATTTAGGGATTTAATATAAGCTAAATACTGTATTTATTAACACATTCATAGAGAACATATTAAAAAAAATTGAATCATAATAGTTTGTTTCCCCGACCAATAGTACTCTTTTAATATTGTAAAAGACAGTTACGGTAACATCTTTATCAGTTTGAATCTAATTTATGAATGTAATTTGTAATTATTTTTAGATGGGTAATCTTTCTTACTTAAAGTTTAGGTTTCGAATTAAGATGGAGTAATATTTGAAGGTAATATTAAAGATTTTTATCCTATATATACAA